ATCTATCTATCATCTATCTATCTATGTGTCTATCTATCTAGCTGTCTATTTATCTATTGAAATTTACCTAATGGCAAAATTTTTTTATTAGTTTGTTTTTTGTTTGTAAAAAGGGTAGGCATAAGGCTAGGCGGTATGGAAAAATTTCAGCTTTCAGAATTCAAAGGTTCTAAACAATGCTTTCTTGAGATCTATGTATCAACTATCTATCTATCTATCTGTTTTCTATCTATCCATCTATCATTTATCTACATATCTACCTATTAATCATCTATCTACCTATCAACTATCTATCTATCTATCTATCTATCTATCTATCTATCTATCTATCTATCTACCTACCTACCTACCTATCATGTACCTATCATCTATCTACTTACCTACCTACCTATTTAAATTGAGGTAAATGGACTTTGGAAAACAAGGCCTTGTGTTTGAAATAAGGAACCATTGTTCTGAGGAGGTGTGTGTATGTGGAAGTGCATATATGTATACACAAGTCTTTCTTCTATAAGGAAAGAGTAAAATTACCTGTTAGGAAAGATCAGATTGTCCTGTTGCAAACTCATTTTCTTATGTGTGTGTGTTTAATGTCTCCTTTCCTCCTTAGTCATCAAAATAGCACAAGATGAAAGTTAGAACATGATGATATTGATACATCTGTATTGTTATGCCCTCTCACACAACTCTTAATTGAGGTCTACATATACATCCACTCCTCGTGGCTTCGTCCCAAAGGCCAGGTCAGTGTGTGAAAACAGAGTGTGACCACATCAGATCATGAAACAGAGAATGACTACATCATTACATATTTGTCACTGAGAGCCACATGACTCTCCCAGCATCCATTGCTGCTGATGTACACCATTAATGAGAGAAGAGTCAGATAGTAGATGTTTTACTATTTTCATAGCGACATATTTGATACATGAGGAGTATGCATGTATTTATATATGCTGTTGTTAAATGCCATCCAGTTGGTTCTGACTTGTAGCCAACATGTATATAAGGTTTCCGAGGAGTGGTTGTTGACTTTGAACCGCTGACCTTGTGGTTCATACTGACCTTGAGAACAAGTTCTTACCCTATGGCACCACACAAGGACTTCATATATAATGAGGGGACTTCAAAAATCTTCAAAATTTAAAAATAATGGGGCTTTCCCACAAACATTTTGAAACCCATATATATATTTATATAGCCCTGATGTGGTGCTGTGGGTTAATGCACTGGACTGCAAGGTCAGTTTGAACTGCAAGGTCCGTGGTTCAAGTTCACCAGTTGCTTCTCGGAAACCCTATATGTGTCTCTATGGGTCGGAACCGACGTGATGGCACTTAACATGTATATATATACAGATATAGATATATGTATATATATGATTAGAGAATGCTGATAGCTATCTAAGATAGCAGAAGGTCTAAGACCCTGTTTTTACATAATAAACCTCAGCTTCCTGCCTGCCTTCAATGGCAGTTATATACATTCTGGGGTAGCAAATGTGGTCGATCTGATGGTATTTGGAAACATTTTTGATTAAGTGGTCTGATTTAAGTGAGGTTTATAGATTAAAAATAAAAGAAAACAAAGGAGGACCTTCTTTTTCTTTTCTTTACTTTTTATTGTGAGTAGGGTGAAGGTTGACAGAGCAGATCAATTTTCCATTCCACAATCCACACACATGTTGTTTCAGGTCACTGATTGCCATCCCCTCGACATTACAATCCTTCTCCCACTTCCTCCCTGTGGCTCCTGTTTCCACACCTCGCTTCCCTAACCCTCTAACTCTGTGCTAGGGTAAACGCTGCCCTTCTGAGCTCAAATCGCTGAGTAGTCGAAGGAGTGGGTACCTCCCTAGTGCTGTGTGTTGGTCCCCTTCTAGCCCTTCTGTTGTTTGGCAGATAACTGAGCCATGGGGGTGGGCTCATTTCCAGACTTGAAGGGTGTCCAAGGGCCATAGTCTCGGGGTGGGGGGGTCCCACCAATCTCTATCCAACCAGTCAGCCTGTCTCTTTTATGAATCTGAGTTTTGTTCCACATTTTCTGAAGGGGACTTCAGCTCTCAGCTGCCATTGTTAGTCCTTCACTCTCTCAGCATTCTAGAGTGTCAGAGATCTAACCTGGAACACTTGTGGGTTTTCTCTCCCATTTTTGTCATGGCATCCTGGTGATGCAACAGTTGAGTGCTCAGCTGCTAACTGAAAAGTCAGCAGTTAGAACCCACCAGTGGCTGGAGAAAGGCGATCTGCTCCCATGAAGACATACAGGACTAGGTTTACAACCAACCCCATGGACTAGGTCAACTCTGGACTCCTGGTGCTGTAGGATCAGCATTGGACTGCGGACCACAGGTGGTTCAAACCCACTAGCCACTCCTTGAAAACCTATACTGGGTCACTCTGAGTTGGAACGACGCGATGGCACTTGTCAACAAGTTCTACTCTACTCTAAAGTGTTGCTGTGAGTCGCAATGACAGCAGCAGATTTGGGTTTGTTTTGTTCTGCAGCTTCTGCCAAGGTTCATGCCTGAGTCTTCCCCCCACACCCAGGCCTCACTTCCTGACAAAACATCCAAACTGCAGAGGGCTGACCAACGCTTGGTTACATCCATGGCCCCTAAAGCCATCCACAACTACACAGCTAGAATCTTACTGCAGAGAATGATGGGAACACTCAACAGCTAATGGTCACAGACACGGGCCCTACCATGGGATGAGTGTAGCAGTTTTCGCCTCTAAGGCGTACACGCTGGTGAGAGTAAACACATACTGCACATCTCAGAGCTCTAGGGTCGTTCTGCTCTGAAGTTATAATGACACTGTAACAGAACAAAGAACCAGACACGCACAATGCTGGGGGATGTGACTTATAAAACACAACGAAATGTTTTCCAGGTGCTTCAGCCTGTTCAAGAGTCCTGGTGGTGCTGTGGGCTAGGTGTTGGGCTGCTAACTGGAAGGTCAGCAGTTCAAACCCACCCGCTGCTCCAAGTGAGAAAGACCCAGATTTCCTGCTCCTGCAAAGACCGATGACCTCAAAAACCTGGATGAGCAGTTCTCTGCTGTCTTAATGGGTCCCCATGACTCAGAGTCCGCTTGGTGGTAGTGAGGTTTCATCCCCACTGGTAGAAATTACAGACATGAGATTTAAAAACTCGGTGCCTCTTCGGATGCTTCTCTTAGTGATAATCACCACAGAGAATCCCACAACGGAGTACAGTGCAATCACAGCACGGGTACGAGAGAAAAATTAAAAGAAAAGAGCAAGCTAGAGGCACAAATTCATTACAAATTGTATGGTAACAAATATTTGTCTGGGGCCTTGGTTTGGCACTGTAGGATAAGCACTGGACTGCTAATTGCAAGGTCTGCGATTCAAACCCACCAGCCCCTCCTTGGAAACCCTACACAGGGTCGCTATGAGTCAGAACTGACTTAACAGCACTTCATAACAACATGTATTAGCCTTGTTATTAACAAATTAAACCCACCCGAAACATTTCCAGATATTATTTCTATTCATCAACAGACAAGACTTTCGTTTGTTTAAAGGGAAGCTAAGAACCGACTCAATGCCACTTAACAACAACAACAACAAAGTAAAGCATTGGGCATATTCTTGCCCCAGGTTTAGAAATGCTTCCCATGAAATCTAAACAGACTCTTACTGTCAGTACCTAAGGATCCCTGGAACGTGGTGGTTACGAGTCGGGCCACTAATCAATCTCAAGGTCAGCAGTGTGAAACTACCAGCCATTCCGTGGGAGACAGATGCAGCTTTCTGCTCCTATAAAGACGTACAGCCTCGGAAACCCTGTACAGGGTGGCTATGCGTCGTAGCCGACTGCACAGCACACCACCACAACCACTACCACCATCACCATCACGGAGCCCTGGAGGCATAGTAGGGTACGCGGTTCCAGTTTAGAGGTTTGAGCCCATGTGCTGCTCCTTGGGAGAAAGATGAGGCCTTTTGCTCCCATGAAGATTGACAGCTTCAGAAGCTCCTTATAAGGTCCGGGGCTCTGGTAGCATGGTGGTTACAAATCGGGCTGCGAACCATAAGGTCAACAGTTTGAAACCACCAGCTGTTCCTCTGGAGAAAGATGAGGCTTTCTGCTCCCGCAAAGATTTACAGCCTCGGAAACCCTATACAGGGTCACTATGAGTAGGAACGGACTCCACGGCACAAAACAACAACAACAACATGAGTCAGAACCGATTTGATGGTACAGCACCACAATCAAAGTGAGTGCCTACATTTTCTCTTTTAAGTGTGGCAAAAACTCTTGCTGTCGAGTAGATGCCGATGTATAGCAGCTCGACAGGGCAGGGCTGAGCTCCCTGCGGGGCTTCCTAGGCGTCATGCTTACGGGAGTCCACGGCCTCATCCTTCTTTCAGGGAGTGGCTGATGGGTTTAAACTGTCGCCCTTGGTTCGCAGCCAAGCGTTTTAACCGCTGCACCACCAGGCCCCAAAGTAAACACACTGCTGTCCAGTTGGTTCCGGCTCACACTGCCCCTGCCCCCAGGGTTTCTGAGGCTGTAAATCTTTATGGAAGCAGACTCCTTTAGAATGGGTGGTGGGCTTGAACTTTTGGCTACCAGTCGAGTGCTTGACCATAATACCATCAGAACTCTTTTAAACAAAAATGTGGCAGATTTTCTCTGAATAATCCAGAGCCTTCATTTTGCCAGAGTTGCTACTGATTTGGTTTGAGATTTCTTCAGAAAGTCAGGATTGGATTAGCTGACTCATCCCAAACAAGTCAGTTCCAGATTTATGTGGCCCCGAGTTTGTGTGCCTCTCTCAGCATCTGCTTTTAGCTCCACAGAGAAGGGCATCATTCCTGGAAAAGAGATCCGAGATGGAGGACAGACTGTCCGCTTGCTTGGGGACAGAACCAAAACCAAAACCAAACTCAAAAGGCTTGTTTGTTTCACGAGAGGAAGCTGCTCCAGGCGACGCTTCCCTAACTCATCAAAGGGGCTCCCATCTCCCTCACGTTGAAAGGTCTGAGAAGGTGGACCTTTGAGAGGAAATACTGCAGACCTCCAGGTTGGTGAACGAGCTGCCAGCGTCACTGGGATACTCTGGGCAGGAGGCGCTGGACGAAATGATGTTCTTGAGTCTCTGGAGGGCAATGATTAAAAACAGAAGCAGAAAGGCTAAGAGGCTGAGGAATACAGACACGTAGATGTAGACGTTGGACAGGTGGCCTGGGGAAGGGTCCACTGAAGTGGACAGGGACGTGGGAAACAGTTCCAGGAAAGTTCCGTTGTCCACATGTCCTACAAGTCCGGACGAAGGGTCAGCTCCGGACATCTTTGTGGGTTAGCAGCCACAGTTTCACGCTGGGGTTAAGAAGAACAAGATGGTGTTTTGTTTTCCACGATGGTATCAGGGAAAACTGCAGAGTGTTTTCATCATCAACACAAGTCTCCCTGCATCTCAAAGGCACGGGGATTAGCTAAAAAATAAAGAAAAAACATGATATTCAGAAAACAGCTCATTAACTCACGTTTTCAGTTTTTATTTCAGTACGTCTTAATTACAAAGCCCACCAGGGATGAAAAGAAGGAAATCCCTCCTCCAGGAAGCAAACATGGTTAGCTCAGTATAGTGGAAACGACAGTATAGGATCGACGTTTCCTGTGTCTCTGTAGGCTGACCTGGCTCTACTGCACTTTACAGAGACTGTGTGTTTCACAAAGTGAAGGTTGGTCTATTGGCACCAGGCAATTTCCCGACAGCATGTGCTCACTTCGTGTCTCTGTGCCCACATTGGGCACTCTCAGAACATTGCGCTTTTTCACCACGCTACCGCACACTCAGCGGCCTAGACGTAACTTTGACTTGCACTTGGAGACAAAAGCTCCAAGTGCCTAACTTGGTTGTGACATTTGCTCTGTTGCAGTAGTCTTGAACGAACCCACAACGACTCTGAAGTCTACCAGTACCCTAGGTGCCAAGTTTTTATAAGAAGTCCTGGTGTGGTGATGGAGGGTCAGCACTGAACTGCTAACCACAAGGTTAGTGGTTCAAACCCATCAGCTGCTCCTCAGAAATGTGACACCACTTAACAATAGCAAAGATAAAATTAAAAGGAAAATCAATTTTTGATGTGCTCCTCTACCGGGATTTCAAAAGATGCTTCAGGAAGTTTGAAAATCAAGCCCAAAAAAGGGAGGTCCAGCCTCCCTCCTTGAGGAACCCACCTGTTCTGTCTGCCCACAAAATTCCTGCCCAGACTTCCTCTTCAGTACACCTCAGGGAAGAGCCACACACCCGTGTCTACTTCATGTTAAAAGTTTAGAAAACATGATTTGATCTCCCTGGGGCCAGAGAAGACCAGTGGGTAACGTGTTGCTAGCATGTTGGGCTGCAAACCTCAAGGTAGCGGCTCAAACCCAGCAGCCAGTCTGTGGGAGAAACATGAGACTGTCTGCTCCTGTAAAGACGTAGAGCCTCAGGAATCTGAAGGGGCAGTTCTACCCTGACCTGTGAGGTCGCCGTGAGTCAGTTGAATTGGATCGGAGGTTTCTGTACAAGGGGGCTTCAAAGTTGATGGAAAATTCCACTATCATTTCATCTTTCCACCAACATTTCAAAACCCTCATATTTCTTTTCTTTTACTGGCACCTACAGTAAATGTTATAAGCAGTTGGAAAATATGGCCTTAGTGATAGAAACAACGCTGGAGATCGCATGATAGAATTTTGCAAGACCAGTGGCTTACTTATTCATTGCAAATTCCTTTTTTAAACAACATTAAGAGACAGCTATAAACATGGACCTCACCAGGTGGAAGACAAAGAAATCAAATTGACTACGTCTATGGAAAGAGATGGTGGGGAAGCCCCAAATCATCAGCCAGAACAAGGTGAGGGCAGACTGGGACAGACCATCAACTGCTCATATGCAAATTCAGGCTGAAGCTTAAGAAAATGAAAACAAGTCCATGAGAGTCAAGTTATGACCTTGAACATATCCCACCTGAGTTTAGAGATCACCTGAAGAACAGATTTGATACATTAAACACTAAAGACCAAAGACCAGAAGAGTTGTGGGATGACGTCAAGAGCATCATACAGGAAGAAAGCAAAGAGTCATTAAGAAGGCAAGAAAGAAGGAGGAGACCAAAAAGGATGTTAGAAGAGACTCTGAAGTTTGCTTTCTAACGTAGACATGCTAAAGTAAATGGGAGAAATGAGGAGGTAAAAGAGCTGAATCGAGAATTTCAAAGAGCAGCTCAAGAAAACAAAGTCAAATATTATAATGAAATGTGCAAACACCTGGAGTTAGAAAACCAAAAACATTTCTCAAGCTGAGGGAATTGAAGAAAAAATTCAAGCCTTGGCTTGAAATATTGAAGGATTCTTCTGGCAAAATATTGAACGATGCAGAAAGCATCAAAAGAAGATGGAAGGAATACACAGAGTCACTGTACCAAAAAGAAATGGTTGATGTTCAACCATTTCAAGAGGTAGCATATGATCAAGAGCCAATGATCCTGAAGGAAGAAGCCCAAGCTGCACTGAAGGCGTTGGCAAAGAACAAGGCTCTGGAAATTGATAGAAAACAAACAGAAATCTTTCAACAAACTGTTCAGCACAGGAGGCACTCACTCATCTATGCCAAGAAATTTGGGAGACAAGTACCTGACCAACCGACTGAAAGAGAGCCATATTTGTGGCACATTCCAAAGAGAGGTGACTCAACAGAATGCAAAAATCATAGGACAATATCATTAATATTGCATTAAAGTAAAATTTTGCTAAAGATTACATAAAAATGGTTCTAACCACACATTGATAGAGAACTTCCAAAGGTTCAAGCTGGATTCAAAGGAGGATGTGGAACGAGGGATATCATTGCTGATGTCAGATGGATCTCAGCTGAAAGCAGAGAATACCAGAAAGATGTTTACCTGTATTTTATTGACTACACAAAGGTCAGCAAAAAAGAGGAAGACCCCCAATGAGATGGACTGGCACGGCGGCAGCAGCAATGCCCTCAAGCTACACAATGATTGTGAGGATGGCCCAGAAGTGGGCACTGCTTAGTTCTGTTGTGCATATGGTTGCTATGAGTTGGAACCAACTTAATGGCACCTAACAACAACAGTCTTTACAGGAACAGACTGCCTCATCGTTAACCCTCAGAGCAGATGGTGGGGTCGTACTGCTGAGTTAGCAACACAATGCTTTACCCGTGCTTCACCAGGCACGGAATAAAACACATTATCCTTCAGTGCCACACGAGGACCCCATACACAAATATACTTGTATATACTCTTATAGGAAGCCTAGTTTGAACTGCAAGGTCAGCAGTTCAAATTTACCAGCCACTCCTCGGAACACCTATATAAGGTTGCTATGAGTCAGAACAGACTTGATGGCACTTAATAACAACAGCAATACACTCTTATATCTCATCCACTCACAGTGCTCCCATGTGACAGAGGAGAACTGTCCCACAGGGTCTCCTAGGCTGTCATCTATTGTGTCACTATATACTCATATATATTCTTATAGATCATCCACTCACAGCAGCCCCGTGTGACAGAGGAGAACTGCCCCACAGGGTTTCCTAGGCTGTCATCTATTGTGTCACTATATACTCATATATACTCTTACAGATCATCCACTCACAGCGC